CCTCTTTCCCAAAGTCCCTCTACCACAGCTACTTAAGTACTGTTGATATTAAATTGAAAAATAGTTGAAGAGCTCATGGTTGATAACTGCAGTGAATGGGCAGCAATTTAAGAAACTTCGTGAGGAAAAGATCCTAAATCGGTCAGCATTAAAAACCAAAGATACATGGAAATGAATGAAGCTCATGTGTGAGGTACAGTGACTGCTAATTTATTACTGAAAAAGGCTGCATGACCTGATGTTCCCTCACTACTGTCAGCTTTAGAGCCAGGTGATCTTGTGCCTAGGTCTGATGAAACCATTTTTTTTTTAAACTGGTATAATAAATGAGTATATAGTATATACTGATTAAATCGGCCATAACCTCCTTATTATCAGAAGATTTTCTTAGAATGATATATATTAATATGTGTAATTTGCTTCTTCCCTGTTTCACTTGCTTTTTAATTAAGCCAAATGTTGAAGCATTAGGTCTCTTCAAATGCTGAGAAAAGGATTTTTGTCTTCCTTGCCAGTTAAGCAAACTTTTTTCATTATATGTAAGTTACAAAAACAGCATGACAGTGTTACTTCACAGGCTGACATAGCATGCACTAAACATTCCAGAGTCACACACTCAGCTGCTTAACCAGCTATTAGTGTAGAGAACTGCAATGGAAATCTAAAAAACAATAGCCATTAGCTTTGGAAACTATCCCTCTTCCTTCCTAGCCTCATGTGCTGATAGACCTTTATTTTGTCTGCCAGCAACCTAAAAACGTATTTTGAAGAGAAAAGCACAGAGATGGTAATGTACCAAAGCATCATCATTTGCTTGGGTAGGTTAATGGAACGAAAAAGGGCAAAATGGTGGCATCTAGTTAAAGAATGGCATCCAGTTAAAGAATGGCCTCCTGTGTTCCAGGGTGAGGGAGCATAGCTGACTTTGAAACCATCTGTACTACACTATGCATCTGAAACACTCAGCAAGAGAGTCACCCACTGACCTCTGCTGGCATAATCCAGTTTGTTCTCTTATGCCTTTTTGTGAGTGCAGCTCTTGCATGGCTAATGGCATGAGCAAATGTGGAGATTTTGGAAACACTGCCTGCTGTTCTTTCATGTTCTTGGCCTCTAAAGCAACTTAAAGTGAGTAAAAAGATACAATTTTCTCTGCCAAGTATAGGCTGGCCAGTCTACGGGTGCTAAACACTGGCACCCAGTTAATGCTGGGCTTTGTCATAGATGTATATGAATGTATGGGCTCCAAACACTGAAGAGAGGACAGCACCACCCTTTTATGCTTGGGTCTCACTCCTCTTCTAAGTGATAATCCTGGGGCTCCTAACCCCACAAACGCTTTAGGAGTGGCAAACAGTAGAGGAATTGTATGTTTGAACTCAAAAATGTAATGATGGGTACTAGCAGTAGTAGTCCTGAAAATGGGAGGTGAGAGGGGAACTAGGAATCCTGTTGTGACTGATACTTATAAGAAGTTGTAGATATAGAATTTGTATGAAAATGTGTCTAGAGCATAGAGCTACAGTCATATTAAATCAGATCTACTTTTGCTGTTTGGTACAGGCTTTCTTCCAGGTAGAATTGATTGAGCTCTGATCGCAAGGATGGCAGACAGTTCTGTTACATGAAAAAAATAAACCAGAAGTCATGGTATGATCAGGATGGGGTAAGAAAGCATTGTATCCGTCTGTCTAATAGTAGTACTTTAATGGTGTTTGTACTAATCACTTGAATTAGAAAAAAAAAGCTGAACAGTAGATCCAGCTGTGTTGAGACCTCCTGATACAGTCTTTCCATTGGAGTATGTCTAAAGGTAAAACTTGTATCTACTCCTGAAAGCAGATACAAAATGCTACTGAAATTAGAGATTTGTGTTTGGGGTCCAGTTAGTTTTACATCCTGCACCGCCAATATCCTTGCAGGGAGGGAGAATGAAACTATGTGCTCGGTTGTGTCAAGAGGTTTAAGTAAGAGAAGCCGACGGCAAGCATCGCCATTTTCTTTTAGTCACATATACAGTAACAAAGCAACTACCAGCACTCCTTTTGGCCTTTTAGCTTGAATGCCCATGCAAAAGTGGTTTGTGAATTGCTACATAAACTTCACAATTGAGTGACACTAGGGCTGAGGGTAAGAGGTCTCCCACAAATAAAAATTGTTATTCATGTTTTCAGAGAATTAGCAGTTATGTCTCCTCCCTGGATATCCAAACAAACTCCTGTTTGAAAATAAAACTACTGGAAAGACTATACTGAAAATTTAAACATTTTAGACTTCAGAGATATTTAGATGTTTTGTACTTTATTATATAGCTGAAGTAAAACAAGTTCAATCAGTGCCAACCATTTTGTTTAATGCCTTGGAGATTCACCATCTTTAGATATGCTCTAAAGTTCCAGGTCTAGAGGCTTAGCAATGTTCCTACTCAAATGTGAATGAACATAGGCACTCTTATCTTACATGATTCTCTTCTTATATAGCTTATTAGCAGAATTTAGCAGTAGGAGAGATCCTATTTCTTAGTGCTTTTGTGCTATGGGGTTTTTTTGTTGTTGGGGGGGGTTGGTTTTGGTTTTGGGTATTTCTTTTTGAGGCTGGTTGTAATGTGAATACAAGTGATAACAGTGAATCATCAGGAAAAAAAAAACCCTTTGGAAATAAGCCAGAGTAAAATTCTTTTCTCGTGCTCTGTTCAATCTGCTTCCTCTTTAAAAGAAAACTTTCACATTAGCAGAAAAATAAATGCTTAGCCAGAGTTCTTTTTGTGTCCCTTTCAGCAGGGAGAAGGGAATGAGTGTGCCGAGCTCAATGCCCATGCTGGCTTCCTCCTGCCGTGGAGAGTTAACACTCTAAAAGCTTTTTCTTCCCCCTTTATTTCTCTTTCCATTTAATTCTTATGAAAAAGTTGTGATGTTACAATTTTAGTATTGGAAACCAAGCACAGAGTTTTGTTGTGAGGAACTGAAATGCTTTGATATAATCCTAGTTTTTTTCTGGGTGAAGTAACTTCTAGTTTTTAAATGGCTGGTGTGGCTAGAAAACAGCATCTGTACTACAAAGCTCTGAAGAGCACCTCCAGCAAATAAAAATATACAGTATACATGATATCTATGTGCCTGTTACAGAATACAGAGTGTTCTATCAAAGCCTGCTGGTATGATCTTAAACAAGTCACTTTTCCTGTAGCTGCAAGACCAAAACCACATTCGCTCACATAGCTAAATTTGGCTTTAGAAAAAAATTAACGCTTGAATGTTCTTAACATAATTACAATTAATTTTCATCATGACATGCAGACTTACCCATAGCAAGGAATAATGCTTTTTTTTTTTTTTCTTCTGGGTAGCTGCTAGGCACAGACTGGAGATACACATTCTTTCTCCTTGCAAGCAGAATTAGTTTATTTTTTAGGCTCGCTATTAAGTATATTATGCATTATAGCTGATGCAAGGGAGTTGAGAGTATTGCAGTCTGTTAGTTACTTTTTTTTAATTCTCACCTGGTTTTCCAGTTTCCAAAATCTCATGTCTAGCATCTGATTTTTTTTTCCAGTTCTGAAGAAAAGTTATGGATGAGATGAGCATTTTGGCTGTTATCAGGCTTAACTAAGTTGGTAATTAAGCCTGACTGCTGAAATCTAGCTTCTGGTTTCCCCTGTACAGATGTCACATTATACTTTTAACATATTGGAATCCATGGGGAAATGTGATTCCTGTAAGAGAACCTTTGCTGCGTTCCTTTGCACCTCCCAGTATGCCACAGCTTGCTGTACAATATGCAAGACAACATGGATTTTGTAAAAGGGATTCTCAGAAGTCCCTATGATAAATGGGTCAGTTTGCATAAAACACTCAGCTCTTCTCCACAGTTAAAAACACCTCAACCTTTTTCTGCCTCAATTTCTGAGCAATGATTTCTTGGTGTTTGCACGGCATCTTAACCATGTGGACTTTATCCCTCAGAAAAGTCATTGGAGAGAAGAGAGGTACTAGAAGTGGTAGACCAGGGCACGGTTGCTACTACTTTTACCTGTAGTTGTACTGAGCTCTGCAGTGCTGTGGTTAGTGCGTTTCTGGGAAAATACAAACAGGGGAGAGAAGCTGTCTTGTAGTTGCTCTTTGTGTGAAGATCATTCAGCAAGTGCCACCAAATCCCACCACTACTGAGATGAGGGAGGTTATGCTTTGTTTGACAGCCTATCTGGAAACACAGGTATTTTTCATCCAGTGTTGGTGAGATTGAGGTTCCTCCACATCTGTCACAACAGAAAGGTGGGTATAAAGAGACCTTATGAGAGCAGATGTTAAGTGTCGTGAAACAGAGGAGTTATTAAGTGAAGCAAAAACTAAGGTGGATCTAAGTCTTGAGGTCCTATGTAGAGTTAATTGCCTGCAGTTTACTTGGGGATAATGTATAAGGGGAATCGTTGCATATTGGTGAGAGCCAAAGGGGCTGTTCTGATGACATAGTTACAGGTTGGTAACTGCACTGTTCCTGTTCCAGTGAAATCTGGTGAAGGCCAGATCCCAGTTTGGTCACAGCAAGGACATGGAGTGGGAGATTGAGCTAACAATTTCAAGACTCCTCAGGTTTTCTTAAACTAAACAATCAAGGGGAAAAATGCAGATCATTCAAAAATGTCCATTAAATAAGAAAAAATCCTTTCAGGTATATGAATTGCCCCTAGTGACCCTAGGTTTACCAACACCCCTTTTTCTTTTGCCTTAAACGAAAGTCTTGCTTAAACAAAAAAGCTGATGTCACAGGCCAGCAGTGATATTCATTGATGTAGATAAATTTACTTTAAAATTATTTAAGTAGCTTGAGCTAGGGAATTGGATTTATTTAATGTAGTACCATGTAACCAGAGGTGCAGAAAACATTCTTAGATGACAGAAATGTAAAGGGTTTTCTCTTGGTGCTGAGCTCCTCTGATGAATTTCCTAAGACATTGCCAATGTATGTCTTTTGTTGCAGTTCAAAGAGGTTTGTATGCTAAAGTCTGCAATTGCTGAAAAAGGTGTAAATTATGCTAGAAAGTAAATATTATTTGCAGCCTTGATTTGAACTATAGGTTCATGTTCAGCGTATTGCATATTTCTTTATTTTTCTTAAACCTGTAAGAAGAATATTTAATCTGATCAATTGCTCTAAAAGCAAATGAAACATAAGGCATGATTGTTTGTTCATGTGGTAGTTCTCTGAGATAAAACGCTTTGTTGTATCCTGGTAATACATCTAAAATTTTTTGGTATCACTGCTTTGCAAGTCAGAGACTCCAGGCTAAAGCAGGCTGCTTTCTTGAGGGCTAGGAGAGGCATTCATATTAGAGCACTCCTTCTTAACCTCCAGACAAACCCTTTATCTTTATTAATGTGCATTATTTTACCTTTTGCAGCAGATATCCCAAATTCTGTTTTGCCATCTACTCTGTGGCAATTGAGGCTTCAGAGGGTTGGCTATTTATTGCTTAATAGCCATGGATAAAAATGCTGTAAATTCTTTACAAAATAAAAATCAATACTTACTGACATACTGCATATTGAAGAAAATAATTGTTTATGGCACACAGCTTAAGCTGTTCTGGTAATCACGTTGAAAAATACAATATTTATTCATTAGATCAAATTTAATGAGGCCTCCTGGCAGTAATTATAAAAATTACTGTAGCAGTAAATTACTAATGAGTTGTGATGTGCTTCCTACCTGTGAGGAAGGACTGGGGGTTGAAAAAAATTGATATCCAGACAACACTAGGGAGGGTGAGATCTTGAGGCTAGGAGTCAAGCTCACAGCAGCGCGGAAGTTGTTCACTGCACCGGAATGGTTAAACTAAAAAAAGAGAGGAAAAAAAATAGCAGAGAGACTCATAATCAGGAGTTTCACTTTAAATAGAGGGTAACTCTAGATTTGTTTCCAAACCAACACCTATAGGCAAGGGAACAATGTTATCAATGGGAGGAAGAGACTTCTGTACATCATCTTGCTACAAAAGCAGCTGAGGTGACCTAATTTACTGTAGTAGATCTTAGGCTGGGAACAGCTTCTTGCTTGTTGTAATAAAGTTTCATGCAAAACACAGCAAAGAGGACAGTGTTTTCTTAGTGCCCTTAAATCTGCAGAACAGTCACCTAAGATGTAGAGCTAAGACAAAGGTTGAAATCCCTCACCAGCTTGCTTTGATGCAGGGGGGTTTGACCTGAATTTCTTTTTTCTGAGACAAAGCTTTAAGGAATGCAGAGACTTTTGGTAGCAAATGGTACACAGTATGAATAACAGCAAGGCATAAAGGTGTAAAAATTGTGTCACTTCTATCAAAGTCCAGGTTTCTGCTGAGTACAGGGTGTTGCTGCAGTAGCAGAGGCTGGCTAGAGAAAGGGGTTCTGCTGCATGCCAAAATTAATGCAAAAGTGCATTGGCACATAGTTATGTTTCTATCTGTAGCTTGTAGAGGTGCCATAGATTTGACAGGTGGCCTTTGGTATTGCAAAACAGTGAATAGGCTAGCTTTTAGCAAGTATTTGCTGCAAAAGATTGATTCTGGGTTCAAACATCACCCAAAATCAAAAGGCTGTGAATTTTTCTCTCTCACAGCACAGAACTCTTAAATATACTCTTGGGGCTTGAAAAAGAGTGGGAAAATCTAGCACGATTTATCTCCTCCCTATACTGGTATGTTCTACTAAAAGGAACCACTGGGCAATGGATACGTCCAGACACTCATACATACTGTGAAGTCAAAGGGGAGAAAAGAGTGTCCACTCACCCTGGAGTCATCTGCCAAAACCCTTGAAAGAAGCAGAAATGCAGGTCCCCTGCACACAACCTGCTTCTGTGCAGAGATGCTGGCTTTTGTGGAGCTATGCTATGGGAAGCTGAAAGTGCCCCTAAGAGTCAAGCATTACAGTACTGAGCCTGAAAGCCTTTATGGCTTTAGCTTCATACCTAAATAAATGTATACACTGAAAATACATAGAAAGCCTCAGACAAGCTCATCAATGATCAGCAACAGGTCAGCATACAGCAAGACTATTTTTGCAGTTACCATAGTTTCAAGAAAAGGTTACCTCTTTGTTACCCCCTTTAAAAAGCAGTGGTTTGCAGTGGTTTAGCTAATTCATGTTATCTGGCTTCTTGTTATTGAAATAAGGCAAGAAGAGCTTTTGCCGTGATGCAATTACAAAAACATCTCTCAACCACCCAGAAATTAACCTTATTTAACTTCATTGCCACAAAATCCACAGACCTGCTCTGTCTTTGCTGTTATGTCATACTGCAGAGAAAACCCATCTGGTTTTGGCTGTGAAGATGGTATCTCGGCTGCTCGAGTGCTTCTTTTCCTAGCGCTGCCATGCGTTTCCTCAGTGACCTCAAGAAATTCAGTCTTCCCCTGTTTCTCTTTTTAAAGCATGGAAATCCTCTCCAGGCTTTCCCTTGCAGTCTGGTCCTGTCTGAAAAAGAAAATAAAGTGTGTTTTTTTATTATTAGCTGAACCGAATTTGGCAATGGACAGATGTTCACTTTGCATACAGCTGTGCTGGCTGAAGATACATTTTTCTGTCTTTCTGGAGGCTAAATTAACACTGATGGAAAATTCTGTGGTCTTCAGAGAGAAAACACTTTAGAAATAGGAATTATTGTGGGTTGGATTTTCAGAATTGCTGTCAGCCACAGCTGAAATCAGTGGAAGCTGTGAGCTGAAAAAACTGAAGCCCTGAGCTACAATAGTTTACATGAATGTAGAAGTTGTTAGTGGCTGGCACAGGATTTTGGATCAATCTACATTAAAAGCTCTCAGGTAAATACAAAAAGTAGATGTGATAAAATGCTCCTATTTGGTTTTGTGCTTTGGTTGTTTGGTGACCTGTTTTGGTTTGTTTTTTTTAATTGCAGAATTCAGGTCTGGGAAGGCTACAAGCTTTCACCACAGGCTGTCTGACTATTGTCTCATGATGCAAAAGAGGGTTTCAGTTAGTATCGTGAATTCTTAGGGAATCTTACAGTGGCAAAATGGGAGCAATTTACCCAGTGTTTCTTCTTCTACACCTATGACATTAATTTACTTGTGTGGAGGGGGGATACTGTGAAACTAAAACCAAAAACTAAATAATAATGATGAAGCTTTTAAGAGAGGCTATCTCACAATCTGACATAAGTAGTAAGATGGTTGCTGTGCACTATTACTATAATTAAATTATATTATGCTATTGCATTAAACTAATCCACCAGTAATACTGTACTTAGCAGTAAGATTTTGCCACATAAACATTATGAGCCTTTAAACTTCTGCATTTTGTCTTGCGAAATCCAGGGAAAATACAGAAATTGGAAGAGCAGAATATAACATGAAAAGCTATAGCTGTGGAAAAAGGCCAGCTGGTTCAACATGCCAGTCCTTTTAAAGCAGGTAAGTAGAGTGTTAGAATACATTTACCAAGGGTGGAACATGAGATGCATGCGTGAGGAGCCTGCTATTACTTTGAAAATGTTACGTACCTATCTAAAAATTCTCTTTCTAGCATTTTCCCAAACTTCAGAACACATAAGGTTAAATCAGAAGCTGCTGAGAGTAAACTGTTAAGAAAAACATGCAAATAATAACTGAAATGAAGCTGCAATCTTTTATTTAAACAGAGGCAGAAAAGGAAGGGGACTACAGATCACATAGACTATGATCAGTGTAACAGGGCAGCTGATCAGAAGAATGCAGTCTTTACAACAGTGTTACCTTTTGCAGACCCAGGAAGCAGAATAATATTTTTCAAACTGAAGACTTCACTCCCATCGTAACAGATCAAACCATCGTTCAGACCAGCAGATCCTGTCCTCTCTCAGCCTGGTAAGCTGTTGTACATTTATTCTGGTGCTAGATCTTTTCCAAATGAGTTACTGGTGCTTTCATCCACATCCTGTTGACAGCTATCCCTTTCTCACCTTTGCAAAGTACAAACTGTGTTAATTGTTCCTTTTTGTTATCATGCACAATTACTTGGATTTTAGCAAAAATTATCACAGAAAATGACAAGCAGATTTCTCTCCCTTTGCTTGCAAACACTGTAAACTTACTGTATGCCAAACTGCTGTAACTGGCACTACAGCATTTGCTCTCCTTCCTAAATTTGCCTCTGCCTTTAAATGTTCACTGAACCATCTTAGTCCGCAGTCCTTGTGATCTAATTGTGCCCACAATATGCCGGGATGGACATGCTAATCGTTAAGGGTTCAGATGTATACAGGGGTCCTCTTCCAGCTCCTGGGGGTAGGAACAGGATGAAAACGTTATGAGACTTTATTAAGTCTTATAAGACCACCATCCCTTGCCTCTGGCAGCCTCGGGGTGGGAATTAGCCTTTACAGGGAGGTTATCATCCGTAATACATATTTATGCTGTGTCCATCGTGTATAAGAATGCTCTCAGTAAAACTTAGGCTACGCTGTAATAATACTTTGCACTTCTTTGTTGCCTTTCATCTGAGCATTTCATTGTGCCTTTAAAAGCTTTCATTAGCTAAAATTCACAACCCTGTTGTGCAGTAACTGTGCATTAACACCTCCACCATATGCAAAATACAGTTCAGAGAAGCAAGGACTGGTGTAAGTGGTTTAAAAAGCTGGAAAGAATGGGGGGGTGGGGGGAATTGAATTGATTATTCCCACATCTATGTGCTAGCCCTGTGGTTTCTATCTAAAATATCTTGGATTGATGTTCTGGCTGCATTCCGCTGCATTTTTAAATGCTGATGCGTGTCAAATTTAGCATTGTTTCAAAATTCTGAAGACATTCATTTGCAGGTTCATTTATTATCTGCTAGAAATCTATCCTTTATAACTGGATGCAGATATAACCATGAGAGCGATATAAGTGCCTGTGGAGCTAGGTATGTATTTTCAGTATTGTTAAGCTACAGAGTCTAGTTTCCCCAGGATATGTATGACTCTTGTGAAAGCCAGTTACACACATTCACGAGAAGAGAATATGCCCCTAAAGCTACAATGTCCTTCGTGCATAGCCTCCAATCCTCTACAAAGCTTACATTTCACAGGATTCAAGATTATTGGTTCTTTTGGGATCAATGAGAAACTCACCACCCATCTCCAGTATCTCTGAATTACAGAGCAGAACCAGATCAAACACAGAAGAGTTCCCTCATTTATCCTGCCTCTGTAATACATCAGAGTGTGTGCTGCATTCATTTTGTGTAGGCGGGCTGGTGTCTAATGTGCTCTGTGAACATATTTATAAAGGATTAACCTGTGCCTGGTGTTCCTAAAAACTGATTTAGTTAAAATACATGTTTTATTCTACTTGTCTCAACCATACAAATCATTCCTGTTTAGCTTTGATATTAGTCATTTTTGCTGTAGTGTAATACACTGCACATTATCAGTAGTCCTGCTATGTATGACAGGGTTTTTTTCCCCAGCCAATACTTCTTAGTGCATTGTATCATCTGCATCTGAGAATTTTAACCTGCAGTGAAAGTGTTCACAAATAGAATGCGTACTGCTTAGCAAATGCTGGAACACTGAGGGTTTGAAGAGTGTTCTTGCTTTCAAATTGTTTAGAAGCAAACTGGGTGTAGAAGGTCAGGAATCACAGGCGCTGTGAAGGACCTAGATGCACTTTGTGCCTGGAATACTGTGTGTGAGCTCACACCTGGCACCTGTCACGCTAGGAAGGATCCAGTAAAGAGAAGCTCCTAGGCTGCAAACAACTGCAGCCCACCCCTCCCACCTGCTCCAAGTTAAGTATGTATGTTTTAAAATATTTACTTTGATACAGGCAATATTTAGATATTTATTTTGTGTAGGAGAAGGATTAAAAGGAAATACAAACTAATAGCTTGGCAATAGGGAATTCTGACCCTCATCTGCAATATGTGACAATAGCTCCAAAATGTTAAGGGCAATTTGAGAAGCTGCCGACTAGGAACTTGGGATAAAACTGAAGAAGGGCAGACTTCTGATGAAGGATTAGGGGTAATTTATTAAAGTTATCAACTACGGGGAAAATGACCAGAGTAAACACTGGAAAACTTGTTACTTCAGATGTTTGACAGCCTGACTTAAGGTTTCTTCTCACCTTGATCTTCAACCTGGAATTCAGGGCTTGGTTTGGTTTTGGTGTTTTGTATTGGTTTTTTTCAGTTTGTATCAGCCTGTACTGGGATAGTAACTGTGTAAAAAAGCTCACAGAGTTTTCAGTATCTTCTGATGGAAAGGAATAGTGGTAGTTGATTAAATTTTTGCTGCTTATCTGATTGCCATTGAATTCGAGGAGTTCAACTCACTCTAAATTCTGTTCTTGATACCATGTAGGTACACTTGTGTGTCAGATATTATTTGTTGTACCATTTGTCTATCTTATCTGGATATAAGAAAACACAAAAATCAGTGGGTGTAGTGGGGGGAGGAAGATTCTTCTCAGCAGCCCATCAGGCAGTTTTTCTAGTTCATTTTCTTCCCCATTGTTTGAAAGGAGCTTGCAAATGTTTCTTTTTCTTGCCAAGACAGTGGTACTTTTGCCCTGGCACACATTATTGTTTTTTTTTTTCTTTTCTTGTGTTTTGAGTGCAGCTGAACAACAAATTCCTCTCTGTTTAACAAGCAACTTCCTCATATTAAAAGTTTTTTCCAAATGAAGTATCTTTTTTTGGTTTCAGCACAGCTCTGCATTTGTATTTGTTATTAAATACTGACAAATGAATAACAGCAAGTGCAGCAATATTGTATGCTTGTGGGCTTTCAGATCAGCCCCTCTGGAACCTGTCTGTCTATCTCAAGGAGCCACAGCAGCAGCTGTGCTTTGAGAGGTAGCAAGTAAGACAGCAAGTCAGTATTCAGGAAACAAGAGTGGCTCCCTCAAAAGAAATCTAACCTCTTTTCTGCTATTCCCTGTGCATTAGACTTAACAGTGCTCTCAGAAATTTTCATGCAAGTTACACCCATTTCACACTTGTCCCTGAAACCTAGATAATTTTAAGTTTTACAGCAGCAAAATAATTTGCTGTCTGTTTTCTCACCAATGCAAGAGACTTTCTTTAAGTGGAAGTTGGCTCATAGGAGGCCATAGAAGGACATGGATAGATGGATGGATGGATGGATGTGTGTGTACGTGCATCTGGAGTTCTTTTGTTCTCTCCCTGTTAGCTTTGACTGTTAAAACAGCCATTTCAGTAATTTCTTGGCTGGCTTTGCAGGGAAAAAATCTTGGTCTTTGCTGCTCCTAGAAGAGAGGTTGTCATAATGTTGCTCCCCCACTTGACTGACAGACACCTTTGCGAACACACAGCATGTTTCATCTCAAAGCACTCGATGAATATCCTTAACCCCCCCCTCTGGACCAGCCCACCTCTACTTGCAATGCTCCTTGTCTTTTCTTACAGGATTGCAATCCCTGCCTTTTGTTCCTCCTTCTCAGGAGTTAATACCTCCCCACCTTACAAGTCAGCAGCAGATTCTGTCAGTTTAAAACCCCAAATAACAAACACTCCTACCCTGAAGGCCTTTTCCTTTCAAGCATGTATTTTTCTAGCCTGCAAGGGAGTCAGTGCCATAACCCTGAGTTTTCAGGGAATAGTTTCTTAGCCTGTATCTGTTCCAAAGAGGGAATGAACATCCCCTCTTCTGGCAGCTCGTACATTTTGTGGTTTCCTGCCCCCCCTTCCTGCCACCTTCCACTCCTTATATGCCCCTGCACTTCATCCCGTCTACATGTAATGTCTCCTTTCAAATCCTCATTTACTGCTGCTATCACCTCAGCCTGCTCCAGCTATTGCCTGTCAATGCAGTCACAGCCCAGAACCCAAACATTTTTGCCTCTGTTAAGGCATCCCACTGTTGGTCTTTTGTGGATTTCCAGAAAGCTGGATGACCTGTGACACAAGTCTCCAATATTTCTCTTCCGTCCACACTCTATTTCCCTATCTGTTGGATTTTTCTCTGAATTTCTATGGCTTGAAAAACAAAGCATCAACTTATCAACTTGGTTTTTTTCCTTTTACCCAATTTAACATTGCTGGCATCACATTCCCACCTTTCTCGCTGAGGTCTTTTTTTTTTTTTTTTTTTTTTGGCAGTATTTGGTATTGCTTCTTGCTTCCTAACAAGCTGCTGTTAAGAAATGCTAGACATACCTGCCTTGGGGATAGTTGACTGTCTCTAAGCCAGAGACAGGAGACTGCTGGCTCAGGGGCAAGAGGCGACTCCTCCACAGAAACATGAAACACTGGGTAACATAGGATGACTTTATAAAGAGAAGCATTAACAGAATTCATGTTCATTTCAGAGACATGGAAAGGGATCCTGAAGATAAACTGAAGATCTGAGATTATTAGGTGATCTGACATAATCTCTGTCATTTAATCACTTGTGTTTGCTGTTTATGACACATTTGCTGAGCCCAAGATACTTAAACTGTGCACGTATTCAGATTTTTTCCATTTACTTCCTCACCCTGTCCCACCTTACTTTGAAATGGCAACTGATTAGAAATCAAAGGGGTTTTTTCTGATGGCTCAGATAGGCATGTCAGGTAGGTATATGAGATGGAGGGGTTTAAAAACGGGGAGGATAAAACTATCATGATGACTGAGGCCTTCTTGTGCTTTGCAGCGTGCATAACAGACTGGTATAGAAAGGATGTTCTTCCCTGAAGGAAGCTCATGGCTCCTGCTCCAGACAACAATTACACTGGGATTTTAGACAAGACAATGATTCAAGTTTTGTTTTCAGTCTGGTTTTTGTGTTTTTTTTTCATCTCCCCAAACCCAAGGGACTGATGGCCAGGCAAAGCTGACCACTAGTCATGTTCATGCATAACCTCTCTGGTGCTCATGGCAGACCTCCCTTTCACCTGTTCTGCAGTCCGTCCCCATACATGCTCTGTTCCAGCAGAGAGGCTGTTTTGGAGCCCAGCTGCATAGCACAGTGTCACAGCAATGATTTTGCTCCCTGGTGACTCACTGCATTTTGCACCTGATGGTAAAAGATAACCTGTCACCTTAAATCCTACTAGTTCTACAAGACAGCTTTTATATAATCAGTGGGTACTTTTACCCTCTTTTGTCCAAACTTGATTCCCCCGTACATTTTTTTAAAGAAAGCAGCTGTGTCGTCCTTCAGGAAAACAGCTTGTAATTTAGCATTACTGCATTATATCCCCTAGGCAACGCTTCTGTCTTCAGGACATATATTTATCACAGACATCACAGTATCTCTATGGTGGTTTAGTTTTCCATCAAGGGAAGCTAAAAGAGCATTTAATTCTGTAAAGCTATGATTGATCTTCACTACAATGTACCTCTGATGCTCTTCTCAATGTGTCTTCTGATGAACAAGATTTCTTCTTCCACTTTTGATCTCTCAGAAGTCTGTACTGATCTCAGAAGAGTGGGCTTGTTTTGCCTTCTAGTGCTACCTGTCTTTGTGCTTGGCAGAGCTTTCCTGTCCTTTGGTCAGCTCTCCAGTCCTCGTTCACTCCATCAGTCAGTGGCTCTTTGCCTTACTCAGGAGGCTCCTGTGGAGAGTTGAATGTGTGCCAGCAAGTAAATAATCTGCCAGCATTGGATGGCTTTCACTTCTTGTTTACGGTTTCATTTTTGGTATTACAAAACAGTTGTGTAGACTAGGTAGAGGGACACATCTTAAGATACGTTCAATTAAGATGAACAGAAAAATGATGGCCCCACTGCTTGCTCTGAAACTTTTCTATGTTCTTAATGCAAGCTGTTTTGTTAATTGCTACTTCTTCTGATGACCATTTCACCCTTGAGCTTAGAGCAGTACCGTTCTATTGTTACAAATTCTGATCCCAAGCTTGGTCTTCTTAGTAGGAGATACTATGTACTACAGCACTTGTCAAATCTATTTGATCAACGCACGCAGCTCGAGACAAAAGCAAGCAAGGAAGGAGTGAGAATGCAAATTCTAGAGAAATCTTTCAAAGCCTGCAGTAATTGGCAAGGTAAATGCAAGGCTCTTTCTGCTTTTCATAACACTGGTAATATCAGTTTATGATAAAAAGCTATTCTGAGTTACACAAGAAGGTTAGATATTTGCCAAAAAAATTCTTTAGTTTGAATTCTATTTTTTTATGATGGACATGAAGTGCCATCCATACTGAATGACTGTTGGCATGCAACTTACCACTGAGCAACTGTATGTTGATGGATAAGCCAGTCTCATCCAAGTGTCAGGAAGATTATCAAAAAAAAGAGCTGTCTGTAGTTGCTCCATCTCTGAGGAGATTGCCAACTCACCCTAACAAAAGAAAACATTAGTGTGCTATTTGCGTCTCACAAAGAGACTGTGATAAGATGACATGATAAATGATAGAGGGCTTTTTTTTCCCCAGTAAAAACACATAAGGTAGCTAAATCATCAAGTGTAAAGAATATTTTGGCTCTTGCAACTGGGGTGAGTAATTTATTTTTTAAAAAGGGGAAACAGTTAGAAAAACAAGAGTGTAGGTTCTGGGGTTTCTGTATTTCTTAGAATCACTCTAATTGCATTAAGTAATTATATGATATAGTAATTCATATACGTACGCATGGAAGCACCCACCTACGCATATGTACAGGGAGAAAATGATAAAGGGCCAAATTACTAACTTGCTTTCAGATATCCCACAGAAAATTGTACATGCAATCAAGCTACTATTCTGCTGGCTTGCTTGCACTAATGGCTATTTGAATGCCCATGTTTTGTTACTCTGAATTAAAAATCGAAAGAAAGGTAATTTTTCAGGTGGCGAAAAAGGAGGTCCCTTAAAAATACTAGCCCTATGAATTAGATTTTCAGTACCTAGTTTTGGTGTGGTATACATTAACTACAGCTCTGCATGCATATACCACAATTATCTGTGTAAAATGCTAGCAAGCTACTTGGTTGCCCAATTCCATGGTTGAACATATATTAAATGTTAGTGCAGCAGGTATATCACTGTTTGAGATTTCTAGATATTATGAAAATTTGGCTGTCTCTGGTTAAGAATGTTACATGTTGCTACTCAGCACTTCGTTGATGTTGAGAGACATATTATTACCAAAATCTGCCAAAGATATGCAATGAGTTCCCCATGTCCCTCTTACCTCGTTCATCGCACTCAATACATGCACAGTGAGATCAGGACTTGGGTGTTACTGATACTGCACCTTTACCTGCAGTTAATGGCGATCTCCAAATGACAGCCAAATGCCACATACTGATGGCATTTAACACAATGTGGATTGTGTGCCTTATCCAGCGGGGATCTATATGAAGCAGAGTTCGTTTTCAGCACCAGAGGGTCTCTAAAGCATCAAGCAGCTCCCTTCTCTCCTATGGATTGCCCAAAACACATGTGAACACACACCGTAGCTAGCAGTTGTAAACAGAAGAGCCAAATTTCTGCAATGGCAGAAAAGAAGAATGTCCCAACCTTACCTCCATGTCTGCACTGGAACAGGAGTCAGACCATAATCAAGGGCTTTGCATTTTGCTTCCTAGCACGCAGAGAAATAGAGGATTTTAGTTTTCTGAGTAGTTTCATGATAATTTTTTTCACACAAATTAAAACAAATCATTTGATATATGGAGATGAGTTATATGTTTGGAGTGGGCAGCTTATGAAAGCACAACTTTTTAATCAATGAAATCAGAAATAAGCTCACCAAGTATCACTCACAATGCCTGTTACAGGCATCTACACTCATGCTGTTTAAACCCATGCATCCCCTGAGATTAGTAAAGCAAAGCACACATATCTTCAAACCTAAATTAAGTTCTTGAAGAGAATGCCTTACCTCATATATGAGTAGATCCAGCCTCATATTCTGGAAAACAAATCAGCTTATGTGAGTAGCATTCTTCTGGTGTTTGGATTAAATAGCTGATCTCACTTCTGAAAGATTTTTTTTTTCTCTATGTCATCTAGCTCTGCCTTCATCCTCAAGAGATACCACATTGCATGAGGCAAGTGTCTTGTGTATCCACTTCTGCACAAATGTAAAGGAAATTATAAACATCGTGTATCTTTATGTAGTGAAAGTACTTCTACTGCCTTCATGTCACAGTATGAAGGATGTGGAGCATTTATCCTGTGAAATATAGAAGGAGCGGAAGACTTGTGCAGGACCATGCTGTTAGGAAGAAAAGCAAATTCTGCCTTATAGTTTGGAAATAATGGCATTTTGCAGCCTGACAAAGGATCCTAAATGGCCTAACACTATTAATATATTGTAACAGTCTAGCAAGATCTTTTTTCTTTGTGGTGCAAAATAATGCATATAGTTATGGCTCACGTATACTAGAGATCCCTCATTGCAAATTTCAGATTGAATCCCTGTAAAAAACAGGTATGAAAATGTCTAATTCTATCGAATTAGAGAGAAAAAAGGCCACGGGAGAGAAAAAAGCCCCTAAACATAAAACCACTGACATCACACCATCTTGTGACAAATTTGCAGCCTGCTCTATGTTTTGACTGACCTTGTCTTCCACAGCTTGGGAGACTCCTTTCCCAGTGACTGAGTATTTGAATTGCAGCTCTAATAGCATATGGAGCATGTTGTTTGCAGTTATTACAAAAGCAATCTCCACATTGGGGTGCAGGCCATAACGGATGGGGCTCTGGGGAGGTAGCATTTTATCCATATTTTTATAGTAGCCTTCATAATCCAGGTTTGAAGAGACTGAAAACCCAGAAGCAAGCACTGACTTACTATCAAACTGTCAAAGAAATAATAAAAACCTTGTCAGTAAGACACTGGTGGCAATCCTCACTAGACAGAATAAGGACCTGCTTAGGCATAAATGAAATTGTTCTATTATGGAGTCACTGCTGAGAACAAGACTTTTATATCACTTTTATATCCGTGGAAATTAATCTAATTTGTTCCCCATTTTAATTAGCCTCTTTATGTCACATCCAAGTTCCAATGCTTGCAAGAAAAAGAAAAAAGAATTTTCTAATAATCAGATTATCCTTCTGAAAGAAAACAGCAAAAAGATAATTTTAATTTAAAAAATAAAGAGACAGAAATATTTTAAAAGAAAAATATTATTTCTTCCAAATTACAAAGTGCTGCTCTCTGGTGTAACATTATTATTCTGTGTAGCAACTTATTAAATGAAGCAATTTATGGTAGCATCTCTGAAAAATGCCATCCTTTATTGAAATGAAAGCGGGTAATAGCATAAGGACTGTAAAATAAAAAGGCAGAATATCTTCTTTTAGACCATTACAAAAATACATGTATTGTCTATTTGAAAATCAATAGAGTACCATAAAATAAAATGGAGCTGTGGTATCATCACCATAATTTCTATTTCAAATGGTTTGCTGAGAACCAAATTGTATCTTTTATGGAAAAAGAATGACAAATGCTTTAATTCAGTATCACACGCATTTGTATATATGAGCTGAAATTCTGCTGTAACTCAAAGCTGTTAGGCAAATATTTTAGTATCACCACAAGTTTAAAAACAACAGACATGTGGGAGTACATCCATTTATTTACACTTGTACTGACTTAAAATTCAAAATGCTATTTGATGCTTTTAAAGTACTTCTGTGGGATGTTAAATTACTGCTGAATTCTTACTGTTCTGAGATACCTTTCAACCTGCCAAGATGCACGATGATGATAATAATAATAATAACAGCAGTAGCGTGGGGATCTTTAAAATAATGTGGGGCTTATTCCTTTAAAGATAAATACCATTTTCACTAACCCTCGTTTTATGATTCAGCATTTCTGATGCAACAAAGTGAAATAATGAAAGTAAAACAACAACAGGTTTGTGTGGGATGGGAAAGGGAAAACGAGCACGTGCATTGTCAGAATTTTTGCAGACATTGTAGGGGAAAAAAAGCTCGTGTAAGTGGCACTTCCCTCTCCACCCCCCCCCCCCCCCCCCGGGAAAATTCCTCCTCTTGTTTTTAGTGTTCGCTACATTTTCTTCTTTTATTCCTTTTTCTGATCTCGTCCTTTCGTTCCCCATGTCTCCTCTGATGCTTCTCCTTCCTCCTCGCAGCGGGAGACTCCTGGCAGCCGGGGAAGGAGAGCCACGGCTGGATGGTGCGAGGCTTGCAGGTGAGCTGGGGGCACCGGCGCCTGGGGAGGAGAGAGATGGGAGCCCAAGGCTTGCTGCCTTGTGTGCACAGGGCCTGATGCACTCCCGCCTCCCTCTTCGGCGCGCCTCTATCTCAGGGACAGGGTGCGGATGTGGCGCTGGGAGCTTCCTACACCTGCCTTGCTCGGGGCTGCGGGGGAGGAGGAGGAGGTGAGATGGCAAATGTGTTAAGTGAGGATAGGAGCTGTGAGCCACCCCTTGTCAGCCGCCCTTGGCGTGCATGGGCTGGGAAGGGGCTGTCCTGCTACCTGGCACCATCACCATCTGACAAACCCCGAGTTCAGTGAGGATCTCTCCGTCCGCCAGGTATGGCCACCGCCACAGGCGGCGATAATCACCAAATGCCCCACAGAGGTGGAAGGGAGAGGGCTTTTCTGCCTCCCTCTTACCGAATAGTTTTGTCGCCCAGGGCCCCTCGGTCATTATCGCCGCTCGGCCCCAGCCCTGCGGGCACAGCACTGCAAGGAATCATTGCATTGCTAAGGGATCAGAGGTCATCGCTGCAGGGAGCCAGGGGCTGATTTATTAAACGGCCAAGTCTGTTTAAAATGTAATTCCTCAGGAAGAGCCGTGAGCTTGTGGCCATTTAAATGAGTAGCAGAGCGTGCCCGTTCATGCCCGTGTTTGCTTCCTCCAGGCACAAACCCCGGCTCGGCGGGCCCGATCCCGGGGTTGCGGTCGGCCGGGTCGCCCCAGCCCCGCAGGGCTGTGACCTCTGCGGGGCTGGCTCCTGCTCATGTCACACCCCTGTCCCCCCGGTGGAAACTGCGGGAGGAAGTGCGGGATGCGCCTCGGGTTTGCTGAAACCGATCCAGCCGCGCTGGCTCCTGCGCTGGAAACGACCGGGCTCACACAGGCAGGCGCCCGGGCGGGAGGCTCCGGGCCGGGGGCGGGCTACAAACTCTCCCGCCGGCACCTGAGTGTTGGCAGCGGGGTGCCGGGGGTGCGGCCCTGCCTGGGGAATCCCGTACGCCCCCACTCCAGCGTTAACACGAGCGTTTGCGAGAGGGAAACCTCCCCTGGAGGTCGGGGCTGCCGTCACACCCCTGCAGCGCTGCCCGGGGTCAGGCCCGGGGGGTACACGCTCTCCCCGGGCGCTCCCTCCCCCGGGGCCGGGCACAGCCACAGCCACGCTCCCCCGCCCGCGCCTCCCACGGCCCGCGGCACCGCCGGAGCGGCCGCCGGCAGGGGGCGCTCTGGCTCCGGGAACGCGCCGCCGCTGACCCGGACGCGTCCCGGCCCCGGCCCCGGCCCGCAGCGCCACGGGGCAGGGCATGGGCAGGGGCACGGGCACGGGCGGCTGCCTGGGGCGCCCGGCAGGTACCGCGGGGAGCGAGGAGGTGACGACCTCTCGGGCAGAGCCGCCGGCCGGGGGGGGACGGTCCGGCACCCCGAGCGCACCTGGGCGGGCGCGGGGAAGGCGGTGCCCCGCGGGCCGAGGGGCTGGGCCCTCGGCAGGACCGGCGGGCTGCGGGGCTGGCGGAGCCACTGCCGCCGGCAGAAGTTGGCGACAAACGTGTGGTCGCCGTGGCTGCAGCCGCGGCTTTCTTTGTGCGTGTGTCTGTCAGCACTTTGGGTGACATTCCCTCCGCTGCGCGGGTGGCTGGCCGTTCTTCCCATCTTTATTGCTGGAAGAGGTTATTCTAAACAAGAGGAAAAGACGAAAAGCCTTTATAATTTTCAAAGAGGTTTTTTAGAATATACTGTCGAAAAGCAATTTTTTTTTTTTTTTTTTTTGTAATTGGAGAGTTTCTTAGCATTCAGGTTGATCCTCTTTCTTTAGTATTTATGTATTCCAAAGAGATACTTGATTTCTTTGACCATATCTTTGATCATAGCTTATGATTACTACCTATATACACCTATGCTTGTATCTTTTAAGAGTCAGTAACTAAAATTGTTTTAATTAAAAGCCTTCCAAAACAAAGATTAAAAAGGATGGAGGAAAATATCATAACCTAGCAGTCAAAACCATGCTTTCCTCTTATGTACTATGCAAATGTTTTGGACCAAACCCTTAGCAGTATAAAATGGTGTAGTGAACCTCACTGATTTACCTCAGCTGAAGACCTAATTCTGTGCACTACATGCTCAGAATATGTAAAAAATATTGCAGAGACACAAAACCGCATGGTTTCGCATTTCAAGATAAATCAAACTAAGCTAGACAAAACCAAAAAAAATTCTTATTCTGTACTACAGTAATTAACTGTAGTGACTGCAAATTTTTCATTCCCACGTGCACAGGCATGTACTTAACTAGAAACTGTATGTGATGCTTTAAAATGAAAAGAAGTAGTTTCTTGTTTGATTTTTTTTTTTCTTTTTGCTGTTCGATGTGCAGTCATTCTAGGATATGTGAACAAATCTTTAAGAAATTAAATGCATGCTGCTTTATTACTGCATACCCTGTAAAGGCTTTTAGTGACTTCACCGTTTCAAGTGGCTTTAAAAGGAGAAGTTCAATGCTCACATTTTTAAAGTTTTATTTCTGTGGTGTTTTGCTTGCCTAGTCAAATTTATCCAGTGCAGCATGGTGATCAGGCATTATTACTGGTTGTAGTTTATCAGGTTTTTTAATGTGAGGTTTCCCAAATCCACCCGGGAATGAGATATGCTTTAGGGGAAGTGGCAGGTTCCTCACACTCAAAACCGATCACCCTGCTGACTTCCTTCCCTGGTTTTCTTCAGTAATTTCTCTAATGTGTTCAGCCACTTTACTACAAAATAAATATTCAGAGATGGGGAGGGAGAGGGGGGAGAAGGGAGGAAAAAATAGGCCTCCTAGTGAGCTATTGATTTGAAATTTGAAACATTTTATTGATACAAGAAAAACCAGACATAAGGAAGCAGTTTCATATTGCACAATATTTGAAAAAAATCGTGTGCATCTGTTTAGCACAATACACTGCATAATGACAGCAATCTTCCCTGTTTGTATCTATTCATCTGATTATACAGCGTAACAATTCTTTTTGCTACACATTTATTTACTAAAGGATTTTTTTTAATGGATAATAAATTAGTAAATCAGATACCGTGTGCTTGGGAAAATATGTTAGTTGACTCCCTACACACAATTCATATTTTATGTGATATGCAGTGATACTTGCATATACAGATGAAGTTATGTGCTTCCCTTGTGGCAAAGACAAAGGAAGTTTTAAATCACTATTTAGTACTCTTTCATCTAGGCACATGCTATTTTGAAAAGCTTCAGTTTTTAACACTGCAGTGCAGCACTGATGTAATGAAGAGCTTTGACTTACTTGAAGTGTAACCCAGTGGCCTTCTTTTGATGCCTTTTCCATAGCTATTTCTGCTGCAGCTTCCTGTCCTTGACCCAACGATACATTGTGAAGTTCTCCGGAGTCAATGGTAAATTCAAACTTGTTCCCTAAACAGAACAATATACTGTACTACTTTGAGCCAAATAATGAAGTGTTCAAATAAGCATGTGTTCTACACACAGTGTTTAAATGGCACCACATTACATGAGTCACCAAAGAACAAAAAACAGCCCTTAAAAATATAGTTTCAATAAATCAGCTGAGCTGGTATATTGTACTGTTCTATGGCCAAGTATTTCGTATTAGCAAAATGCCCCTGTGTCTGAAAAGCAATGCAGAAGTGAGACAATTGATTCCTGCTAATGGATTCCCTACATATTGCCTATAAAAATATTTCAATGCACACTAAAGTAGATATGTTAGAAATTTATCTAAAGAAAAAAAAGGAAATTAATGTCTCATTAAAGGTGACATTACACAAGGGCAATGAAAGGGGCTAAGCAGAAGTCCTTATATTGGCATTAGGAGGTAGTTTGGTCAGAGGAGGGTTAGCAGGTTTTCAGTAGGGTCAAATCTATCACTCAAGTATAGTTGTGCTAGGTTGATGACTTGCACTAGTAAAATACAGAACAGCAGGCAAGCTACCTCTGATTTCAGAAAGGAGCCAGCAGTCACCCAGGCAGCTGAGTCAAGCGCTGTAACTTTCCTCAGATACTGAGTGTTAGAGATGTAATGCCATCTGTGTGTTATCATGTGACAAAGGCTTTGTTTATTTCTCTGGTTTTGATAGAATTTCTAAAACCAGTGGTATTGCTAACTAACTTGGTAGACATTTCTTTTATGGTAAGTGCTATGTGTTCTCATGATTGTTAGTAATAGCACCTATATATAGTCCAGAGGAATCTAATGGTTCAGAATCGATAAGGAACCAATCCAGGAGATAAACACTACTGGGGAACAGCACTACCTTCTTTGGAAGTTTTTGTGAACACTGGACACATTTTGTTCCAAGTTACATTTGGGCAAAGTTCCCATAAATTAAGAATTACAGTTGATAGACTGTTGTGAAAAACAACAGTTAAGGTGTAAGACCTATTCTATGGGGCATAGTATTTTATTATGACTTCTATTTGGTAGAGATCCAAGTATAACACACGTTAGGGTCACTCACAGTGCAAAATCTGTCCTTCAAAGGGCTGAGGCTTGTAATGCAAACTGACAGCACAAGTCATCCCCGACAGTCTGCTGTCTCACATAATTATTGGTTTCAGGAGAGAACTTTTTGCTTTTCATTCTTTTAGAAATGTCTCTTTTCTGGACATTCCAACTCCATCTTTTTTGCTTGTCCTTTCCAGGGGCCTTCAGTATCTCTATTCAAGTAGCATAATTTATTCATCATTGTCCACACTTGAAAAAATACTGTGTAGAGCACATTTGAGCACAAGCATGTGGATTTTGAAAACCAATGTAACTGAAGATTTTATTTAAAAAACCTCGGTTTGTAGGATCATTATTATAGACACGCTATACCTGATTTCTCTTCATGGAGAATTAGAGAGAAAATCAAGTAAACGTTGCAACAGTAGTCAGTGTAAGTTCAGAGAGTTCCCAAAGCATCAGTTTGTTTTTCTGTAACTAAAAGCTTTAGGATAGAACAGCTGCGAAATTAATAGAAAATGCTTGTAATATTTATCAGTGTTTATTTTCTCTAAAGCTTTGGGGTTTACTTGTGGCCCAAATCTCCCATTTAAAGTATTTTAAAATCTTTTAAAACCATGCAATACAGATTCTGGATATCATAAGCTTAAATCATGAACATATAGAAACATTCCTCAGAGTATATGAGTATGTTCACAGATGATGATTAAGTGTGCCAGCTTAGAAGACCAGCTAAGCTTTCACCAAAATATGGCAATGTTTTAACATAAGGTTTTTTTGAAATGTCTGCTTTGAAAAATTAAATGTGGACTTTTGTGTGTAAGCCTTTTAGTATGTCAACAAGGCTAGAAACACTAAATTGTGCTGAGAAAGAGTATTAATACAGCATTCCAAGGTCAGCTGAGCTCAGATTTCTCTAGAAGAGGAACAGTTTCTCTTAAGAAATTGCCAGATCAAAGTCATACGGCAAAATGCTTAAAATTTTAGAAGTCTGTTAGAACCAGATCTAAATTTTCCACTGTTAAAAGAAACAACAAGAGAGCTCCACACCATTATTTCTCTCTTTGTACACGGATGTGCTGTACGAATCAGAGGTGCATTCAGCTATGTATTAGTAGGGAGCACTGAGCCACTAGAGCAGGAAAAGATAGGACAGAAATAAACTGTTGGCTGCAATTGCCCCTTTGAAAAAGAACAGGAATTTTGAGAGGGGAGAGAAGGAGTTCCCTTGGTCCCAGTGGAGTTTATTATTCTCTGGAAACAGGTAAACCAACCCTGGCTCAGGAAGATACTTTAGAATAGGAAATGTTTTGCCTTTGAAACGTACCAGATTACATGTCATTTCAAATAGTGTTCATGGCAAAGATACCCCTGGGACCACCTTACAAGAGCTTTATTTCTTGCCTGCAAATTAGTCAGTTCAAAACACTTCTCCTCTCATCTCTGCCTTCAGCTCTTAATACCGCACATGCCATTCGTAAAAGAGCGGAAAAGAATGAAAAGCCCCTCAATACAATGGTACAATTAAAAAAATAAGACAAAAGACTGTAAAGGCAAGAACAAGATGGGTTTCAGCTGACAAGGAAAAGAATGAAATTTTGGTGCATTTTTGGAGGCATTTCAATAAACCCTCTTTCTTCCGTTTCAGCAGGGGCTCATTGAAACAGCTATGTTTTCCAAGTAGCAGGCAGACAGACAATAGCATCTAAATTATTTTTAAGAAAGCACTTAAAGCACTAAGCACTCACTACTACTAAATCCACCTTAGAGGAGAAGGGTGGAGGAAGAAGAAAGGTCAACAAATGTATCAAGTTCTTTGTGTAATGCCTCACTGACATTTTCCAACTCCCTCAGCTGGCTTTTATTTTTTTATTTTTTATTTTTCAGAATGCTGGTAAAATGCAGTAAAGGATTTAAGGTTATCGTCTGTCTCTCTAACTTCTGACATCTCTTTATAACAAGAAAGAGTCACAGCCAACTGTAACAGGAGGGCAACACAATGAATCCTGGTAAGACCGGGAAGGGGGGAGGTTCAACTTTGCTGCCCCTTTGCCCCTATTTCTTCCTCACAGAACAGAAGTGCCATCTGTTACTAGTTCTAACATGCATGCATTTGATTTCCATTCAGTAATAACAAACACAGGAAAAAGATTATCCAGTGATCTAAAGTACTATCAGCATTAGCAAATCTTCCCATCCAGTATTTTGTTTGCACCTCTGAAGATCTTGCAGATGAAATGGATATGGGGAAGTGCCTTAATGGCCTAGAATTATTCTGTTCTCTGGTAGAGGACCATATGGTCAAGGTATGGGTCATGACCAGACTGAGGATATTTAGGTGCTTAGATCAGAAAGAGATTTAGGAAAATCAAACGAGAGGACTGATGTTTAGATTCTCCAACCTGAATTCACTACAATCTCTATTACTCAGTGTTGTATTAAATCATCATAATAATGCAAAATCAAGTCACAGCATGTCATGTGAGGCTAGACAGTATAAAGTATAAGCCTGTTTCGAAGTAATCCGTAAAAATGTTCTTAGGCTTCACTCAAATTTGTCACGTTCACAAGCAAAAAGCCCAACACCACCAAACACCCCCCAGTCCAGCAAATTCAGTTTAAGATTATGCTGGTTTTGGCTGAGGTGTTTCTTCATAGCATCTGGTATGGGGCTGTGTTTTGGATTTGTGCTGGAAACAGTGTTGATAATTCAGGGATGTTTTAATTATTAGTGAGCAGTGCTCACACAGAGTCAAGATCTTTTCTGCTCCTCACACCACCCCACCAGTGAGGAGGCTGGGGGTGCACAAATGTTGAGAGGAAACACGGCTGGGACAGTTGACCCCAACTGACCAAAGGGATATTCCATAGCATAAGGTGTCATGCTCAATATAAACTAGAGATGGAAGTTGGCTGGAGACTGCAGTTCGGGGACTGCGGCTCATGGACTGGGTGGGCATTGGCTTGTTGGTGGTAAGCAATTGTTTTTAATTTGCATTGCTTTGTCTTGGGTTTTATTTCTCTCCTTTTTTTTTTTTAATTGGTGTTGTTGTTATTATTATTAAACTGCTGTTATTTCAACCCATGAGTTTATCTCCTTTACCCTTCCAATTCTCTTCCCTCCATCCTGCCGTGGGGGAGTGGGTGAATGGCTGTGCTCTGCTTAGTTGCTGGCTGGGGTTAAACCATGACAAAGATCTGAAAAAACAATGAAAACATCTTTTCTTCCTAACTCACTGCAGGTGCCAAAGACCATCTGGATCCTTCAGTTATGCCTAGTTGTGCCTGATGTCTTACTGTTGAAAGAAATGGGGTGCAGCAGCAGATGCCAGCAAAGTAAAGGTGCCTACATAGTGCTGTTTGCAAAGCAAGGTAACAATTAAACAATTGGTGCAGTGGGATTTCTCTGTCAGAAATGTCTCTTCAGGCATTTCAGGGCTCTTTCCTCTTGCTATCTGTACCTGACTGTTTTAGCAGTCTTCATCCTCACAGCTTTCCCCCTTTTGCTGTTCCTGCCTGCCCACCTTGTTTCTTAAAACACCTCTGTGGCCAGAAATTGGCCATGTTGTCAAGTGCCAGCTTTCTTCCCAAAGGCTGGGGAATGACCTCAAACATGGGAGAAGCACGGCCAGTGCTGTTATAATGTAAATAAACTTGTAAAATGGTTCAAGAGGCAAAACCCAGAAAAATGACTAGCAAGTAGCTTGTGCTTTAGATTAGCTTAATTTGCTCAAGTCAAATCTGAAGCTGATCTGTCTGGCAAACCTACTGATGCCTACATTGTCAAAATACATGAGACAACATTTCATTTCTCTAAATTTCCATTAATTTCATTGCCTTATTTTCTTTCTGTTCCTCCTACACCAGGATGACATTTTTGAAGTGTACTTTTAAGAGCATAATTTGATCAAATGATCCAAGGGAATTCCCTATAGATATCCATGATTTAATGCTAGATCTGTTCTAAAGGTTGGCATGCCCGATAATGGCAATTGGTTTAGCACCTGTTAATTTCTAAATAATTAATACAGAGTGTTTTTTTCTAGACAGAACTGTGTCTTGTTTACACAGCTCAATCAGAAAAATAAAGGCAGGGCCCAGCCATGCGTGATGGTGAGCATTCTGAGCATCCCAGCCTCAGCCAGAGTGGGTGTTTGGCACCTTGCTGAAGTCAGCCATTGTGCATGTCCTCGTGTGAGATGCTTGTAGGTGACTTCCAGATGACCTTGAGGAGACTGGACAGGAATTCACTGGTTGGCTGATTTATGTTTCAGTACCGTAGATATTCTGTACTCTGAAAACAAGTAGGGTCAGCAGCTGAATTTGAATTTCTCTGTCTTCCCTTTCTCTTCTCCATTTGTGATTTTTACTTTCCGGCTCACAGCACATGCACTAGAAGCTGAAGAAACCTCTTTTATCAGGTTAATATTTTCATCATAGCTGTGGCTCACATCCATATAGGCTTTGGGCTCCTCTGCTCTGTACCCATTTCTCACTCTTTTCAAAGGGAAGTAGGAAACTCTTGGTATGGGTGCAAAACTTAGAAGAGATCTATGCCAAATAAGAGCAAGAACACAGCTGCACAAGACTCAGCATACTGCTCACAGACAAAAAGCAGTGAAGGAAAAGATAACATTTTAAGCTAAATGAGAGATCGTTATACAATACTCTTTCCGTTCAGCTCGTTCTGAGAGGAATATATACATGTGGCAGCAGCACTTGGGACGTGAAGAGCTACTTTGAAAGTAGATGCGTTTCCCAGTGTTTGAGATGAGGATGGAAAGTGGAGAGTGAGAAAACTGGCTGCCCCTGCAGAGGTGCCCCCCTCTGTGGCCACAGCAACGTCTGTGAAGCCATCGTGCTTTTCTGTCCTTAACGAGAAAGCAGCCTGGACTGGCTCAGAGCAAACACGGTTTGTAGGAAGCATTTCAGGCTGATGTTCCTGCCTGAGGAGGGAGTTTTCCAGTGGCCTGGCAGAGCCAGTTGGTAGCATGAACAGCTCAAGCTACAGCAAGGAGACCCAAGCAGAAGTACACAAACTCGTCCATATTCCCTCTTACTGTGGTGAAGCAGGAAGGCACGGAAGGGAGGCCTCAAAATCATAAGGCAAAGGACTGCTCTGTGGGCTGCCTGGCCACACGTACAGGTGTACATACACAAAGCTGTAAATGGGAGCCCATGCAGGGGTCGTGCTGTACTGGGAGAGCTAACTGGGCTGGGAAAGTAAGCTTTACCCTTTCAAACAGACCAGCGTAAATGATAGCGGAGGGTGTCATGCGGGCAGTTGGGATCTTTACACTGAGCCTCATGTTATCAGAGGGTTTTGCTCACTGCACTGCCTTGTGAAATGCAGCCTGTGACCAGAGGGAAAGTGGTAAGCCAGTGGTAGAACTAGATTAAAACAGCAGTACGCAAACACACTGACCTCTTCCTGAGTGGTAACCTTGAATGAAAGCTGATTCACTGGACTGATTTCATTCAGCTTGTCCATGAGAAAATAGAGCACAGCAGCATTGACTGCAACTGGCCAAAGTGCTTGTGAGCTTCAGTGATCTTCATGGTATTTGTTTCAGCTTCCAGGTCCTTAAAGATGTTAGCAATATTATAATGTGGTATTACACTCAGAGCCTACAAAAAGGTATTGGCAAAAGGCACAATATATAAATGAATGTAAGAATTTATTGGTAGTCCAATTACTATTTTAAACAGTATAATAATCAAAATTACTTAATGAATAGTGGAAGACCTCATTAAAAATAGGGGTAAAATTGCTACATAAAAAGTTCCCTATTCTCTGGCTTTGTGCTTATTCCTCCAGTGTTCCTTTGGGTCTTAAGACTGACACTTTGGTATCTCTCAAAAGGAATGGGGGAGTACTACAATGAGTTGTCACCAGGAGGAGCGTGATACTCATGGGAAGGGGATGTCTTTCTCCTCAGTCTGGTGTCTGATTTAGTTTTATGTTTTCTTGACACTGTCAGCTTACTGTGATTAAATGACTTACTCGTGTCATCTGCGTCTGCACTCTTTCCCACAGCTGACTCTAGAGCTGTAGGCATTTCAGTCCACAATGAATAACCATTTGTTATTACCATAAACTAGAGTTAAACTAAAATTTAGTCAAGAGAGCCTCACAGCTGAACAATTGCTATCACAACTAAACCAAGTTAAAATCTATTTAGGCCCAGACAAACCCAGGGAATTTCTGGGTCCGTATACTATCATGTCAATACAAACCTTGTTGCTTTTTAATAATAATGGCTAAATCACGTTTACTGGGCTATGAAGTCCCTTTTAGTCTGTGAATTGCAGAGTTCAGCAAGGATTTGCAAACCCTTCTATGACTGCAGAATCATGACTGAGCAGTAGATCTTGGAAGCATTCACACTTTTCTAACTTTTTTTGAATTAGAATAATTCAAGGTCTGATTGACTTGTATTTCTTCATTGCCATCAGGAGGCCAGCTAACAAAAAGTGTTTGATTTTCATCGCCAATATAATTTGCACAATCAGCAGGAATACTGTAGTTATTAAATTAAGAGCTATAGGTTGTAGTGCTAAGTTAAAAATTCCTGTAGCTGCAGAAGACCATTGTGTAACCTCATAAAGGTATAGGATAATTAAGAATACATGTTTGAATCTAAGACACATCACACACACACACTCACAGACACTATCAGATAGGTTTTACACGAGGCAGTTCACAACAATTTCTGAAATTGGCTCTGTACACAAACACAGCTTGATCTCATATATATATTTAGAGATTGATTAGAAACAGAATGAGAGATGTCATAGTCACATCTGTTTAACTTTTGAGCTAAGCAATCATCTGAAGACTGGAAACTAATATCTTCACATATCTATTGCATGTTTCAATGCTATTTGCTGACTTTCTTCTGAAAAGACTCACTGAATATTCCATTTTCTTTGACAGTCTGTGTTCACAGATGCACATTTTTAATAACACAAACACTTGTTATACTTTTCTAAAATTATCTGATCAGCTTCCTCCTAACAAGAACTTTCTCATCAACTTGATACATGACTACGTATTTTATGTATATGCAGTGTTTCCACCATGTGAAAAATTCAAGATGCTTTAAAATACCTCCCATACAATAGTACATAAATATTTATTTTAAAACCATGATTTTTCCATGGCAAAAAAAAATATACTCTGTTGATCCATCTTTTCTTGGGTGTTTTATAAGCACTCACAGTTTCAACCATACTTGTAAATATATGTATACTTTAATGTTACAAGTATAGATATTAATATCTAGGTAATCTGTTAAGTGTGGTTACTCTCAAGGAGAGGACATACAGACCTCCTCATCTGGAGGGATCTCACCTTGAGAGGGCCACAACCTCCTAGGGCCCCTCTGCCAATATTTCACCACCCTCATGGTGAATGAGGTAAATAATTTTTCCTAATTCCTGGTCAGAATTTCCCTTGTTCTGACTTCTGCTAGTTGCCTCTTTCCTGTCCTTGTGCACCCCTAAGAAGAACCTGGCTCTGTCTTCTCTGTAGCCTCCGGGGAAGTATTTTCAGACAGCAACAAATCCTCCTGCCCTCCTGGCCTTTTCAGGGCTGAAGAACTGCAGCGCCCTCAGCTTCTCCCAGCACGCTCCCTGCTACAGCTCCCACTGGAGTAGCACCAGTAGGTTAATGTCTTTCTTGTACTGTAGGAGATACAGTAATTATATGAAAATTTTTCATTTATAACATCTGTTTTTTGTTCATATACTTGCTGATAGTGTAACACCCTTAACTTGTTCTACAGCTGTACTGTCTTCTTGAGTTTTGTCCTGTTTGGTTAAGTTGGATCTGCTTCTACTTCAGTTCATTCTTCTGAAGTCCAGATTTCTCCTTGTGCTGACAGTTTTTCAGTTACCTCCCTTGCCACTAACCAGACAACCCATGTTTCAGCATGTTATAGGCTTTTCAAGAGAAAAAAATTTGCTTTTTTTAATATTTTTTTCTTTTTGCAAAATATTGTTCTACTTTCTGAATACATTGGCAAGAAGCTGGAACTCAAGGGTATGGTCCCGAAGAGCTGATTAACACACTGGCCTTGGACCAACAAAGTTTAGGAAAGAGAATACTTAGAGGAAAGAATACAGGATTTTAAGATTAGAAGGGTGGGAGAGCTCTTCTGAGCTCTGCAAAATTTCTGACAGCACTTGGCTCTACCATACTGCTGCATGGAGTGCTTCTGAGTTTCATCAGCAGTCACTGAGAACAGAGGATATTCAGTACTTACCAGAAAGTATTCTCCCTTTTGAAGGATGAAGCTCTTGAAGACCCCTCCCCCTCCCACTGTTAGGAATATGACCTTTTCAAGTACTTAAAATTACTTAATTAGCAATACAACCATTAGAAAGAACAAAATCATTCTAGCAAAAGTAACAGATCTGTAATTGCAGGTGTTACAGAATGTAGTACAAAAGATGGTGTTTCCAAAATTTGTTTTAAAGTGTTTTAAAAGGCTGTATAAAGAAGGGAAGCAAGCAAGCTACCAGGTAGTGGATTACTTTCCCCTCGGTGTTTTTTGTGAAGTAAGAATAGGGGGAACATGTAACAAGCATCTTGCTATTAAATTTGCCCATGACAAATAGTGCAGCTGCGTGTAGTGTGCCAGAACATCTGCAGAATCACGACACATGCAGAATCCCCCACACTAAGAGCGTGACATTATACTGAAAACAATTCAGTTGTAGAAGCAATATAAATCCATTTTATATAATCTTTCTCCACCTTCTCCTCCCCCTTATCTTTTGAATCATGTTAACTACAGGATTCTGTCACTTCTTCACAGCATCAGTTAAAAAGTATAAAAGTGACTAAGCATTTCAGGATTATCTTCTTCTTTCATTAGCAGCTATAATGCAAGTATATCTTATCTGAAGAAACAAAAAAGAAAGATAACCAGTGGCAGAAATGCACTAGACACCAGAGCTTACTCCAAGTGGAACCTGACATCGTTTGCAGATGCAATTTAACTCTCAAGAAATCAAGGGGTGATTTTCTGTGGCAGCATCTTGTGTGGTTTTTCAGTTGAAAGTGATCAGTCGAATTGCTGCCAGTCTTTACTTCACCGATGTAAATGACAACACAAAGTACTGTGATATGTAATATCACAAAGTGTTATGAAAAAATATGCCTAAAATATATAGATTTCTAAAGTAAGAGAAATCTCCTTGCCTGGAATTTTTTGAATTCTCACAGTTTACCTTTCAAATGCAGCTATGGTGGAATTTGGTAGAAGTTCCTTTAAGCTCCACGTTTGCCTTTTTCAAAATCCTTGAAGGCTTTTATTTTTCCCAAAATGATTTTAGCAAAACGTTTGCTTCTTTCTTCTAAATATTCTATTGTTTGCTCTCTGAAATAGCTTCTTTGCAATCTTTAGATTTTAAAAGTAAGAAATTTTATAATGGCAATGCAAATGCTGATTTTTGTAATGTTTGAGGTTGTCTAAAGACTATGTGAGAATAATACTATGACAAGGCAAATACATGCATGCTATGAATGCCTGGATCATTATCAACTTGCTTCTTTGAAACATCTTACATGAATTAGGACAGGTCAGGCATGGTAGCTCTGTGAAGCTCCAAGATAATTTCCAATTTTTTCCGCAGACTGCAGGTCAAGCATGAAGCTAGAAGAGCGAGCCGGCTTGGTCATAATTTTCAACTCTTTGCCCATAAAATTCCTGAAACTCAACTAAAAACACAGTTTCTTTTAAGGATTTTATTGATAGCATAGAGTTTTAGTTTACTGACTTGCTGATACCCTTTGGTCAAGTCCTTTGCACTCTTACTTCATTCACCACCTGAACAAAGCCTTGTTTTCCTGTATCAGAGAGACATACTGTGAGTAAATGTGAAAGTTTTTAAAGCACTCTGATGATGGAAAAGATATACAACTGATATTACCTGATCATATTTTCTTACTATTAAGGGTATATTTATCTCTTAATTGATTCCTCATTTAATAATACAATTATTTTTAACATCCACTTCCTGGTTTGCATCTCCGGTAACTGCTTGCACAAGATACACAGTCATATGCATCACCATAGCAGAAAGGAATGTCTTGTGCCCTGCAATGCATTTATGGAGTTGGAAAATGCTTTTATTAACTTTTCAGTGTCCCCAGCTTTCACATGAAGAGGCACACATCCAGTGGCCAGATGTAACTGCAATCAGCTGTGGCCACTCCAAGCTAAAAATGAGTGTCTGAGCATCCTGCTCACTAATCCTTCCCCTGGTGGTGCTTGTGTTTGGTCTCTTGGGTAAATGGTTTAACAGCTCCTTGTAGTCTTGGGGTCCTGTGACACAATTTTTAACAAGTTAGCACAAAAAGGAGTTGTTGAAAAAAATGACCCAGGGAAAGCTACATTTATATGGTATGTAAAATAAAACACTAAAATTCCCCTCTTGCAGATTTAGTTTTATGGTGATTTGAAAAGTTTTATTTTATTTTCCTCATGATGGAGACATAGTGATTCTTGAAGGGAAAACACACATGGATATATTCACTGTGGATAAGTAAATTGAAAAATACAGATTATGAAATAAATACAATTCTAAAAAATAAACATATTTGGTTTAGACCCAAAGGAGCCAAATTCATCATGAAAATTATTATTATTGTAGTCGATCTAATTCTTCTAGTTGTTTTTCTTTATTTGTATTTCTGCTGTTGTGAGTCTTGTTGTTTACAGCTTCTCAGCGAGAAGAATATCCCAAATGAAATTACTGTCAGCAGCCAAAGAAAGTATCCATAATTCATCCCAAAGCACTGACAACTTAATTTTAAAGTAATCTTTCTGCTTTATGAGTTCAGACTGAAGTGGTAAGTTTGCAAATCCCTAAATCAAACCATAGGAAATAAAGGAAATACATATCTCCTTTTAAAATATTCTGATTTCCTCAAGTTTCATTGTAAGCATAGTTTTTAGTAATTAAATCTTCAATTACTAGAAACAGAAGAAAGAAATAAAATTGTGAACTGTATTCTGTACATCTGTACACAACACATCTCTGTTGTGACTCCAGAACCATCTCCTGGGCTATAGAAAAGTTTTTCTAGGTTTATAATAGCAGAAATTAATTTAGATTGTGTATTCCTCTGAGCACAGTGAGAAGTACATGTGAGTATTTGTGTATCAGGTTCAGCCTACTGAGGTCTGTAAAAGGCACGCTGTGCTGTGAGGTATCCAACATTTCCAAGTGCTGTTCTGGGGCCTGTGCAGGTGTGAGAGTAGTGCAGACACTCCTGAAATGTCCTCAGTCGGGAGTTTCCAAATGTTTCCAAACTGACCTCACACACTGCGAATAATACTGAAGCTGAGTCAAATTCTTTAAATCCGAGACCCATTTAGAGAGCAGGTCATGAAGCCTTCTATAGGGAATCAGTGAAAAATCTGGTGAAGCCTGTGTCCCTGAGTGCAAAACCAGCAGCCTGGCAGTGAGTGTGAGCATGGTCTCATTTCTGCTTTTCTGCACACTGGGGAAAATCGTGCAGAATTCATTGTCCCAGGACTCAGCTTATTGCCACAAAACCAGCAGAGCCTCAGCATGCATTCAGGCTCAGAACTGCAACCAGCAGTTACTGAATAGCAGCCACGTTCTGAATCTCAACACACCATGAAAATCCTCCTTTAATCAAATGCTCCCAGGGGAGCAAGAAATTCAAGATGCTCTTCCACCCTGGGCTGGTGCACACCACTAGGTCAACACTTGGCATAAAGAGCTTTCTGCTTGTCGATGCAGTGTGAGGGTGGCAGTCGGGGGGGACACTCGTAACAAGCAAAACCAACAGGCAGCACGTAAGGTAACATGAGAACATGAAGGGAGCAATAAAGAAGAGGCAGAAGGTACAGTACTGAGTGGGGCACTGTGATGGCTGAATTCAAAAGCATTTTGCTTCTCAGCTTGAACTTTTTAATTAAGGAATTTCACAGTAATTTTGACTAAGCTTGAAGAGGAACAATTTCAGTGTTCTGGCTCACTAAATACTTTCTTGCAGTCTAAATAGATGCAAAGCTCGGAGCTGAAGGAAATCAGTGCATTAGCAGCACTTTCTTTCCAGCCTGCGCTGTAGATAAGTGCTGTCCTGTGGCAACCTTTTTGGGGTCAAGTGATTTAGAGAGCTTAGACAAGGCTGGGGTTCGGGATCCCTTTACTCAGACACAATCCTGAGTAGCACAGGCTGTGAGGAAATATTTTCTGACATTTACTAGAGGGGCAGGGGAGGGAAGGGAGGACTCCTGGTAGCTGTAGGAGAGACAGTAGGCACAGCTAAACTAGAAGGAGGGGAAGGGATCAGGAATATAATGAGGAGGTGGGGGAAATGACACTGGAATAAAAGGGTGAGTATATAAGATACACACTCATCCTGGCCTTCCTCTGTTCAAAGCACTCCCTCCAAGGGTGGGTACAAGACTTGAATAGAGGGGATGGATGTCAAAATATTTCCATAAGGAATATAAG